ATTACGCACTTGTAAAAATGATTGCTAAAAAGTTGCGAAATCGAAAGTACTCTTTTATTCAGTAAAGAAAAATAATTTTTTAAATCAAGGTTAATTTCTTAAACAAAAAACAATAATTAATTGTTTAAAACAATATATTTCAATTGCAATGCATGTCAGGCCACGTCCCTGGCCTCTCTTCAAAGCTATAATACAATTTAATATCCAAAAATATTTATTTTCATTAAAGCAGGATCTTTACATATTATAACTACTTAAATAAAAAATAAGTGCATTAATGTGGACGAAATAAATAGGATGGAACAAAGTCAAATTCTTTGCTCATTAAAGTGTGCCTGTGACAAGATCTATGTTGTAAAAACTATACAATTTTTTTTATGAGGGTTCGCTACAGCAGAGGTTATTTCAACCCTCGGGGTGCCGGTGTTTTCGAAAAAAAATCCCATTTGTAAGTATGTCGGGTTCGAACGCAGGGCCGCTGGATTCGAACCCGCGACCTTTACCTTACAGTGATGAGGTACCTTTACCTAAACCCTTGCGGCCACCGGCGCCCCCAAAAATTAGAAAAAAAAAAACAGAATAAAACAACACGAAAAACGTTATAAATCAGCAAAACCATACAGGATTAGCTCAACTTGTTTTCGACACTAAACATAAATTTGAATTTGAAAATGTAAAAATTCTTATAAAAGAACTGATGTTAAACTCGTTAGAAACTATATACATTAATGATTATTTGGAGGTCGTGAGATGCGGTCTCGTGTGAAGTAGGTTTTAGAAAAAAATTTTCTTCATCGTGCCAACGTTTCGATCTTTATTGAGATCATCTTCAGGGTACATAGTGTGTTTGGTTGTTGAGAGTGCCCACACACGACACACATCTACACAGAATACACTTTGAAAGCGTACAAATACTTTGATTAAACCTAAAATTTTTATATTGTATAAATTCATTTTCATCTCTTACACGTATTGTATAATTTAAAAAATGTTTATAAAGCCCAGGCCCTGAAGATGATCTCTATAAAGATCGAAACGTTGGCACGATGATAAAAATCTTAGGGCTTCTCGCCAATATTTTACAACCATGACCCGTATAAGAACGAATCACTGTATGTGTGGTGCTCATAAGCATAAAATGGGACGTGGGGAAATCCCTAATTGCGCCACGTGTGATTGTCTGGAAAATTTAAGCCAGATGGAATGCCTAGAATACGATGAAAACCGACGTAAGTTCATTGAGAGAATTCATTCTCTGGAGGGACTAACACGGTCGTTTTGTCTGGAGTCCCTCGTTTCCACAGGCAGGGATGGCATATTGAAACTGATTTATCTCTTCTTAAAGGAATGCAAAATTCACGTATAAGTGGGGGGGGATTATGTGTGGGTCGAGCATGGCTGTGGGTTGGAGCCTCGACTTGGCGGTTCTAGGTGCTTACTTGCCAGTCATGCTCTACAGAAGCATGGGTAATATAAATTCATACACCCAAAAAAAAGTCTAGCTTGTTAAAAGAAAACACTTCGATCTTTCGGAAAGCCATGTTGGGCTTTGCAAAGTGATAAACATATATCTAACAAATTTCTGATATTTTTACGAATACATGTCAAAGATTATATCGCAACTTTTCTTTAGTTTGCACTAGTAGCTAGAAATATCATATTTTTAACATAAATGCTTTGAACAAAACTTTGAAATTATATTAGTTAAACTTTTAATTTAATTATTGTTTCATTACAGATTACTCTATATTTACCATCACAGATTAAAATAAATATATGGCGGGGTAGGGTGTATTACCCCAAATATAGTTGAACGTCACGGGAAGACAGCTACTACTGTTATACGAACGTGACGTTTACAAATTTGAGAAAATCTTTCCTTATTTAATTTTTTATGATGGTTCGCAACAGCCGAGGTCATATCAATCCTCGGGGTGTCGGTGTTTTTGAGAAAAAGCCCATTTGTAAGTACGTCGAGTTTCGAACTCATGCCAGATGGATTCGAACCCAGGCCATTTTACCTTTCGTTGAGAAGCGCAGTGTCAACGCTTAACCTTGCGGCCAACGACGCCCCCTCATTCCTTATTTTAAAAACTTCAAGTGTATAGTAAACATTTAAAGATACAAGAATAAATCTTTATTATCTTAATTGACAATTTCGTTCAATTGAACAGAAAGGTTTGCGAAAAAAAAACCTTTATTAATATTTAATTATTTTTCTTTATTTATCATTGATTAGATTACTGCAGATAAAAGACCGGAGAAGCAAAGTGTAGGCCAGTATGTCATGAATGTTCCGCTTGTCAATTTTAATTTTGTTTCTGAACAGCGCTATATGCGATCAGGTGGTCATCAATGATGCTGTGGACCAGCTGCTCTATTCAGCAAGGATCATCGGGAAAAATAACTCCCTTAAAATAGCCATTCCTTTTATACAAACACTTAAGACATTGCTACGAACGATTTTTTTTTAAATTTGATATATTAACCAATCAGTTTAGTTAAGTAAGTGTAAAAAAGTATGTAGAAAATTTTCTTTTCTAAATAAAAATGTTAAATTCTTATTGTAACTAATGTGACGTTGGTCTTTCAACGCCACAATCAATAAGGGTACGACAGTTCCAAAACTCGGGGATAGGAAAGGAATCGGAAGTGGACCAATAAATTAAAAGGAAAGGATACGGGGAACGATAAAATAAAACAAATAAAAGCACGATGTTGAAACCAAATTAACTGAAAATATAAAATATATTTACAAAACGTATATACAAAGCAAACCCAAAATTGAACCATACGACGAATAAAATCTTTTAATTATTCAACTCTTTAGCTTCCACCTGTAACCATACAACCACACAATCGCTCAACTCACCCTCGTGAGAACTAAATTATAATATAATTTAATTCTAAAGATTGGCACTAGATTAAGCAATAGGTTTCGAATCTGGAAAACACCTGATCTGTTTTTTCCAGTGTAAATTGAATATCCCCCCTACTGCAACCTTCCACCACTCAGCATTCTAATATGTAACCTATTCGCCTTTCGGATTATCTCCGATAGTAGGGGTGTTCACGATTTTTGTGCTAACCCTGTTAAATCCGGTGAGATCTAGAAAAATTATGACGTAGACATAGCAGAGTGAGGTCAAAAATGTAGTTACTTTGCTATCCGTTAGGGCATAGGTAACAGACATGGCAGCGAATTTTACAGCTGTTTTTTGTTTACACGTATTTTTATTCTTAAATAAGTGTTAATTAAAGACCTATAGATTTATTTTGTTAATTTCTGACCTATCCTTATACTCTCATTCATAGTAGATACATCCTATGTCCTATAATGTTGTAGACTGTTAAACGTTAGGATACAGGTTAGGTATGTCGGCACGAATTGAAGCGTGTCATTTGTTAGTACTTTTCGAGTGCATTTTGAATGAAATAGTTGATTAATTTTCCTTTTATATTAACTTCTGGCAACTTACAATTTAACACAAAAGAAACCAAAACAAACAACAACAAGCTTTCAAGGAGTGCTATAGCTTTATTTTTGGTTCTACCAATCGCCATGCGCAGAACTGCTGAAAAATTAACGTTTAAAATGTTAAGAAAAGAAGGGGGCGTTCACGATATTATTGGACATTTCTCTATTTGAGTTGACACGAGTTACAAACATAGTGAATACCCTTAGTGTCATCCCCAAATTGTTAGGGCTGACACTGAGCACTTTTTTTAGGGCATTTTTTTATTATCATTGAAGACAAACTCTTTGTTAAGTCTTTAAACATGGCTAGTTGTAGTCAAAAATTATTGATTTTCGACACTTCTCCTGTCCTAAGGACCGTAACGTAGGAAGGGAAGAAATTAGGTCGTTATGTGATAATTTGAATTACTTTTTCCATACTCAATTAATTATACACAGTTTTTTCGAAATGAAAAATTTGTGTCACAGGCGGGATTCGTACCCATGATTTTCGGCTAAATACGCCGATGCTCTACCATTCGAGCTACCGTGACTTCGATCGCCCATGCCAAAAACTTGTCATTTCGACACCCCGTTTTATTCCAATTGTAAGCAAATCTTGACTTCATATAGAAACACTTTTTATTAACGATTGTACTACATTAGCCTGTGTACGATTCACAGGTGTGATTCTAGATCAATACTAACTTTTTTAATTATTTTATAATCTTATGCGTAATTTATAAAGACTCAATTTATATAATTTTTTTCGTCTGCTTACATTTGCCGCGATTTGCTTACAGGCGTAACTTCTCATCTCAACCACACAATTTGAATTTTCCCTCCTTTTTGCCATTTTTCAATAGGTGGAGTTCAAAAGTTAGTGTCCGAGTGGATCGAAGTCACGATAGCTCAAGTGGTAGAGCAGCGGCGTATCTAGCCGAAGATCGTGGGTTCGAATCCCGGTCGTGCCATTAACTTTTTTATCTCAACTAAAAACCTTAATTAATTGTAATATATTAATTGGTCAAGCGGACCACGAAATTAGTGAATTTATATAATTAACCATAAGCCGATAAAATAATTAAAATATTAGTACTAACACTTTTTAGTTTAAGCATTTTTATTTTATTTATGGCAAGATGATTCACGTTATTGTTGGTAAGAACATTTATTTCCATATGTACAAATATGTATTATCATCATTGATATGGAACGATGTGTAAGGTGTTGAATGTATTCGGTTTATGATTTTTCGTTTTTCAGTAGAAATGAATTGTGAGAAGTATAAAATTTATTATGTAGTAAATTATTTTCACTAAACATTTCGAATAACTAATGAAAATATTTTGTGTGTAAAACTTACATATGAACTTTTACATTTCGTCATTTCTGGATATTCAATTATTTATGCTTCTTTTCTTATGCAACTTCATAAAAAAAGTGTAACTGGAATTTATCATTACTAAATGGTATTTCTGTAATATTTATGTTGGTATTATTAATGTGTGGTATAATTAATTATAAAAAATATTACAACACATATTTAACAAAAATTCTTTATTTACATATTTAATAGTTGACACATGACATTCTTTTTTAAAACTTCATCGAAATGATGTTTGAGATAATCTGATAAACTTTTACCAATTTTGCCGTAAAACTGGTTTTCCATTAAATTAACCCCAACATTGTAAACATAGGGGGTTACTTTCCGTCCTCGCACAGTTGCCTTGGTCTTGAAATTTTTGAAACTGGTCACATCGGTCTTGTCCAATGTTGTTGTACAGCCTGATTTGTCTTTCTTGACTGTGAAACGCACGTTGAAACTGTTCTCGCCGACACTGACGTCAATGCTACAACTTGCACCTGTACTTAAAACAGAAATCTTGATCTCGTCGAAGCCGAACTTCAATTCGTTCAGACGGACGGGGAAACTGACGGAAACGGTCTCCTTGTCTTTTTTCAGTTCAACAGGGCCAGTCCTTGTTAGAGTGGTCATATTCTTCAACCATCCTCCCTCTGCTTCCAACGTACCTCGGAAATTAATTATCATCACTCTCAATTTGAAATCTTCGTTCATCTTGGGTAGCGATATCTTCGGCTGCAATCCTCTAGTCGTTTCCTGAATGAGTTTATTTACCATGCCATCGACGTTTTTTTCCGGTACTTTCTTCTCTGCCAAATAGAGCCCCTGGCTCAGCGTCAACACGGCGCAAAGAACGGCACACAGTACAAAACCGAACTTGAACATGGTGGATATAATGAAAACCTCTTAATGCACGTCGTTTATATAGTAATCCAAACTAAAGAGATTCGTGGAGTGGTTTTTGATCAGTGCGTAAATGCTATTAAGCAATTTTATTATCATAAAAATGCATATAAAAAAGCAAATTAATTAGTAGATATTTTATCAAAATACTTTCGGTAGTCACTTCAGTTATGCACTTGTAAAAATAATTACTAAGAAGTTGCGCAAAGTTCTCTTTTATTCAGAAAAGTAAACTTACTTTACTACTTTAACTATACTTATTTAAATTTCTCGAACTAAAAATAATAATTGTTTGCTTAAAACCATACATTTCAAGTTCAAAGCATATCAGGCCACATCCCTGGCTTCTCTTCAAAGTTACAATATTATATATCCTTAATATACATAAATACTAATTTTTATTTTAAAAAAATAAAATAAATAAACAAGTGCGGTGATTTCGACAATAAGAGACAAAATAAATAAGATGGAACAAAGTCAAAATGTTTACTCATTAAAATAGACTTGTGACAAGATATTAATATATAATTTAAAAAATAAATAAATATATAAAAATAAAAAAATTAAAAATCAGCAAAACATACAGCATTGCTCAACATCTTTTCGAGACTAAACATAAATTTGTATTTCAAAATGTAAAAATTCTTGTGAAAAAACTTATTTTATACTTGTTAGTCACTATACAGGGTGTCCCATTTCCTTCTGACGAAACTCGATTTTATTTTAATTTCGACTATTTAATTGTCATATATTTATTGTTTTTATTTTATATCTCTAACACTGATAAAAAGTTATTCTTGGTTGTAACAATTTAACAGATTGAAATTTATATTAACCTATCGTTTCAGGTCAAATTGTGAGCATGATAAGTAATGAAACCCCATTTTTATATAACTTTGTAACCGTTACAACCTGTTAGTTGTATTTAGCTAAACTAACGAATATGTACATAAAGAGTTAATTTTATCGGTGTTTTACTAAAAATAGGTATTTACGGATATTTCAATTGAAATATGTGGCTTTAAAAAAATAATTGGTGCTTTTAGTTCAAGCAATTAACTAACAACTTAAGTTTATAATATTTTACTCCAAATTAAATACAAATAAAGAATTTGAAATGTTTTACAACTTTAATTTTCTTCAAATAAATATTATTTCAATAAAGAGTTGCAAGTTAGAAATATTTATTAACAACAGTCGGCCAAACGGTTTTCTAATTTTGTTCTATTTCTTGTTTAGCAGTTTTAACACTAGTATAATTCTGTTTTAGTCGATTAAAAAATGCTTTTCAATTGTTGCCTTCTTATGGCAGAAAATGTTTTATAAGTTTTGAACTTAGTTTACCTCGGTTTGCAACTATGTTAGTAGTACGCTTGTAATTCATTTTCATTTTCCACAAGAAAATTGATAACTCCCAATAACTGAGAATTTTATAACGTGTTAGTATTTCAGTAGCCGGTTTTCTTTTCAAATTAAAAATTATTCTTCCCCACATCTACTATCTCATCCTGAAGTCCTTCATTTAGGATCGTTGTTTTAAGAAGATAATTGGCTCCGAATTGCAGCGTATACACGGCAGAACTGTATGCGATCTGGCACGCTGTCTGGGCCCTGCGAGATGGGTTCTCTGTGGACCCTCTCTTCGCGTTGTTGATGGAAAAAATCGCTGGGTTTAAGCGCTTCAGAAAAACGGTGGTTGTTGTCTGGATCCCCGGACACGTCGGGCTAGAGGGTAATGAACGTGCGGACGAGGCGGCAAAGGCCGGGACGTCCTACCCTCCAGACCGGACCATCGCGACCAGGCCCTCTTTCGCCAAGATAGCAGTAAAGACCGTCGGGCCGGGTCGTCCAAGAGGCTTTTGCGGGTAAAGAGCACGATTCGTAGATGGCCCCCTCGAGAACCTGAGCCGGAAACAAGGAATCGTCCTTACGCGATTAAGAATAGGCCATACACGGTTGACCCTCGGTCACCTGCTCTTGGGCGAAATCCCGCGCAGGTGCCCCTTATGCAGAGAAAGGTTGCTCGATGTGTCCCACATACTGGAAACATGCCATGCCTTCGAGGGCTCCCTACAGGGAGCTTGTAGGCATGCCATTCAATCTGACGAAGGTACTCGAGCACTGCAGCGAGTTTCAGGGTCCCCTGTTCCGCTTTTTGGGAGAAATTGGGTTTTTTTATTGTATATAGTATGTCTCATGTGTTGTGTGTCTATGTGTTTTGTCTGAGTGCATGTATTTATTAGCGTGAATGGCGAGGGGTGAGGGTGAAATATAACATCATCATCGCCCCTCGAACGTTGAGGGCGTATGAGTATGTGTTGGGGGTCGATGGCGGAATATTTATAAAAGTACTCCATCGACCCCAATCAAGTTTAGTTTGAGTATAGGTCGGTGGAGGAATATCAAGTACTCCACCGACCAAACGGAATGGGTGTATTGTATGGATGTATTTATGTGTATGAATGTATTTATCTGTATGAATGTAGTGTTTGTAAATAGAAGTGTAAATAGAATATTGAGTTAGCTTGGGGCTGAAATGACCTAGATGTCGGAAGCCCCAGTAAAAAAAAAAAGAAAAAAAAATGGCTCTGAATTTTCAAACATCAAGCTCAAGCCGGCATTCCTCAAGGGAATATCCTACGGCCAATTCTCTACACTGCTGACATACCTATACACCCTAACAGCAACATCACTACTTCGCGGTCGACACGCAATCTTTTTCTCACATGCTGCTCTATCGGTTCAGCAAAAGCAACCTCGACCACCTGGACCTCATTATCGACTGGTACACTCAGTGGTGGATCGAGCTATATGAACATAAGAGACGGCCACACTTATAAGAAGTATGTGCCCACCCCGTGCATATATGTCTAAAATTTATTTCTCTCTTTTCCCATATTTTCATCTTTTATCTTTCCATATTTATCACTCTTACTCAGTCTCTGTCACCTATTACTATTTCTGTATGCATATAGCAATTTCCTTTCTCTCTCAAACGTCCATTCTTTATCCTATTCCTATATTCTATCTGTATTCCTATTTTAATACAGATTACTTTATATTTACAATCACATATTAAAATAAATACATGAGGGGGATGAGTGGTATGGCGTATTACCCAAAAGATGGTTGAACGTGACAGGATTAGACAGCAACTACTATTATATGAACGATGACGTTTATAGATTTGACTAAATCTTTCCTTATTTATTTTTTTAGGATCGTTCGCACTAGCAGAGGTCATATCAATCCTCAGGGTGTCGGTGTTTTTGAGAAAAAGCTCATTTGTAAGTACGTCCTTTCAAGGCCTTAACCGTTGCTGCCAACGACGCCCTCTTATTCCATATTATAAAACTTCAAGTGTATTGCAAACATTAAAAAAAAATAAAATTTGTATTATCTTAATTGACCATTTCATTCAAATTTAATTATCTTAATTAATTATCTTAATTCACAATTGACCAGAAAGGTCTTCGAAAAAAAAATTTAATAATATTTAATCATTTTTCTTTATCATTGCTTTGATTACTGCAGATAAAAGACAGGAGAAGCAAATCGTCGGCCAGTATGTCAAGAAAAATCCGCAAAAGTGTTCCGCTTGTCAATTATAATATTGTTTCTTGTTGTCATCTCTCTGCGATCAGGTGGTTATCAATGATGCTGTTGACAAGCTGCTCGAATCAACAAGGATCAACGTGAAAAATATCTCCTCGCACAGTCGCCTTGGTCTTGAAATATTTAAAACCGGTCACATATATCCAGTCCAATGATGTTTTACAGCCTGATTCGTCTTTCCTGACCGTGAAACGCACGTAGACACTGTTCTTGCCGACACTGACGTCAATGCTTCAACTTACATCTATACTTAAAACAAAAACTTTAGTCTCGTCGAAGCAGAACTTCAATTTGTTCAGGCGGACGGGTAAACTGACGAAAACGGCCTCATTGACTTTTTTCAGTTCTATAGAGCAATTCCTTTTAAGAGTAGATATATCCTTCAACCAACCTCCCTCTTTTTCGAACTTTCCTTGGAAATTAATTATCGCCAGTGTCATTTTGAAATCTTCCTTCTTCTTGGATAGCGACATCTTCGGCTGCATTTCTCTAGTCGTTTCCTGAATGAGTTTATTAACCATTTCATCAATGTGGGGCGTCGGCGGCCGCAACGGTTTAGGCGTTGACACGGCGCTCATCACTGTAAGGTAAAAGTCCCGGGTTCGAATCCATCTGCCCTGCATTCAAACTCGACTTACTTACAAATGGGCTTTTTTTCAAAAACACCGACACCCTGAGGTTTATATGACCTCTGCTGTAGCGAACTCTCGTAAAAAAAGTAAATAAATAAAATTTCAACGATGCGATTTTCCGGTCCTTTCTCCTCTGTCAAATCAAGCCCCTGGCACAGGGTCAACACGGCGTAAAGAACGGCACACAGTACAAAACCGCACTTCGACATGGTGGACGTAATGAATACCGTCAAACGGACTTCGCTTATGTAGTTATTCAATTTGTAGTTTTCCTCTTTTTTTCTTATGATATCAAGAAAAAGAAAAATTGCTGGAGTGGTTTTGTTAATGCCCAATTAAAGGCTATAAAACACTTTGATAATAATAAAAAGTTGCACACAAATAATATAGAAAAATCAAAAATAATCTTTTATACAGAAAAGGGAAATAAATTTATTTCCCTTGTAGAAATGTGTGGTGATTAGTGACCGATAATCGATAATTATTCAGAAATCGTGAGTTAATTTTATCGCTGTTTTACTAAAAATAGGTATTTATGGATATTACAATTAAAAATATATGGCTTTAAAAAAATAATTGGTGCTTTTATTTCAGGCAATTAACTAACAACTTAAGTTTATAATATTTTACTGCCAAATTAAATACAAATAAAGAATTTGAAATGTTTTACAACTTTAATTTTCTTCAAATAAATATTATTTCAATAAAGAGTTGCATGTTAGAAATATTTATTAACAACAGTCGGCCAAACGGTTT